GAGGTTTACAAGAACTTAACAAAAGTTTAAAAATAACCAATGTTTATACTAAGCCCAGCTAGGTGACATATCGTCATCTTTGGCTGAACTTAAAAGTTAAGCAAATGGTTTGAGGTTAGTCAGGGGATCACCAGGAAATCCATGCTGGAGAATAGGCTGAAGAGTCATAAAAATATCTCAGAGGAAGTCAAAAGTGGGAGGGGGGAGAGAAGAGAAGAGAAGAGAAGAGAAGAGAAGAGAAGGAAAAGGGGGGAGGAGAAGAGAAGGGAAATGAGGGGAGGAGAAGAGAAGAAAAGAGAGAAGAGAAGAGAAGAGAAGAGAAGAGAAGAGAAGAAAAGAGAAGAGAAGAGAAGGAAAAAGAGGGGGAGGAGAAGAGAAGGAAAATGAGGGGAGTGGAAAAGAAAAGTAAAAGAGAAGAGAAATGAGGGGAGGAGGAGAGGGGAAGAGAAGAGAAGAAAAGAGAAATGAGAGGAGGAGAGGGGAGGAGAGGAGAGGAGAAGGAAAACAAGAGGGGAGGGGAAAGGAGGGGAGAGGATCCCTTTGACTTACAGCCATTCATTTATTGACTGTTCAAAATTATAACTGGCACTAAAAAATGTGGCTTACGGAGGGGTCTTTACACTTAATGAATATCGCAGCCTCTCCCACATTGCATGGTCAAACTCCAGGCCCTTAGTAACCCCCAGTAGTATTTTACACCAGTCGCAGCGTCTCTGAGTCATGTGATTGCAACCCCTCGCAACCTTCCCAGCTGGCTTCTGACAAGCATTGTTCCTGGGAGAAGCTGGATTTCACTTAATGACCATATGTTGTGTGTGTATGCATGTGTGTTTGTGTGTCTGTCTGTCTGTCTCTTGAAAGCCTGCCTGGCCTTTTTGTTTTCCTTGCATGGAGTTGAGGAGTTCTTGTGGGTATAGATTCTCCTGCTCCAGCAGGGGGGTTGGACTAGATGACCTCCAAGGTCCCTTCCAACTCTAATGGTGATGGTGATGAGGAGGAGGAGGACTACAACCAGGAGGTCTCTATGATTGTGCGGCATCCTCAATGAGATTCTCCCCCGTTTCTTAGCAAGCCAGCTAATAAACCAATATAGGGCTTTTCAGAGCAGGGGGGGAAATGGGACTGTGGAGCAGCTGAAGCCGCAGTCCAACCCTTCCCAACCCTCTCAGCGCAGACCGACATCTCTAAGCAGCTGCTGCTTTAAAACTCCACCCAACTGTCCCGCAGCCCTCCCCTCCTGCCCTTCCCTTCCTTTCCCAGGACAGACATAATCAGGAAATGACTCTTTGAAAAGTCAAACTCTCTTCCTGTTTAGATCGCTTCCTGCCCGCCTTGTGTTTCTCGACGGACATTCTCTGAGTCACTGAATTGATGAGGGTGCCACGTTGCTTTTTAGGCTATGCAGGACAGTCATATTCTGAGCACTGAAGGAAAAGTAGAAATTTCTTAAACCCTGGTTGGATTGTTAGATTCTAGGGGTAAATCAAAGAGAGTCTTATTTTTTTCTTTTTCTTTTCTTTTTTAACTATGGATTGGGATCTGAATTCCAAAGTGCACTTGCTTGGTCTACAGCCATGATGGCAAAACTATGGCACGTGGCACGCAGAGCCATTTGTGCGGGCATGCGAGCCCCAGCCAAACTTACCTGCACTGCACATGCGCACATCTCCCAGCAGATTTTTGGCCCGTTTGAGGCCGTTTTCACCCTCCCGGAAGCTTGAGGGAAGCCTCTGCAGCCTCGGGAGGCCGAAAAACGGGCCCGTTTCGGCACTTCCAGTATTTTCGGAAGGCCCGTTTTTTCAGCCTCCCAAGGCTGGGTGGTGAAAACGGCCTCAAACGGGCCAAAGATCAGCTGGGAGGCATGCACATGCGCAGTGCAGGTAAGGGGGTGGGGCGGGGTGTTGCACGTGCATGTGCAGGGAGGCGGGACGCATTGCATTGTGGGTGCCGGCACGCATGCGCTTTCAGCACACCACAACAAAAAGGTTTGCCATCACTGGTCTACAGTCTGCCTTCTGAACTAACAATGACGGTAGTGTACAGATAGTCCTCAACTTACAGCCACAATTGAGCCCCAAAATTTCTGTTGTTAAGTGAGACATTTATTCATTGAGTTTTACTCTATTTTGCAATATTTTTTGGCCACAGTCGTTAAGCTGATAAGTTAGTAACCTGGTTATTAAGTGAATTTGACTTCCCCGTTGACTTTGCTGGTCAAGAGTGGTGCGATGGCCTTAGAGGTGGAGCTCTTGCCTCACGGTCAGGTGGCTGTGAGTTCGATCCTAGGTAGAGGCAGATGTTTCTCTCCCTGGATACAATGAGAATGTATCTGCTGAACAGAACTCCGCATTGGTGACAGAAAGGGCATCCGGCCAGTAAACACTCAGCTCCTCCATTCAGTTGCCCAGACTCCATCCCGCACAAGGGATTATGGGGTCGTTAAAAGATTATGATGATTGACTTTGCTTGTCAAAAAGTTGCAAAGAGGGACCACATGACTTTGGGACACAGTAATGGTCATAAATACAAACCAGTTGGCAAGCGTCTGAATTTTGATCACATGACCACAAGGAAGCTGCAAAGGTTATAACTGTGAAAACGGTCCTAAGTCATTTTTTTCAGTGCTGTTGTAACTTTGAACAATCACTAAATGAACTATTGTAAGTCAAGGACTACCTGTAGTTTGGAAGGGAAATAAAATTCGCTTGCCTGTTACAGAGTTGGTAGGAATTAAGGATTTCTAACTCGGAAGGGTGATGACCCAAAGGGGCGTGGCACAAAAGCAACAAAGTCACAAAAGTAGGTAAAGTCCCTTAAATATCTCCAACTTGGCCCCCAATATCCAGTTATCATCGGCTGGAGAAAAAAACTCTCCCAAGAACAGTTTTTAAAGGGAGGAAATGCAGTCCGAACCCAAAGTACATCTAAATTATAAATAAAAACCAACGCAAACCACAGCTGCAGCAATTAACAAGACAGGGCAGGATAAGGAATTGCAGACTTCAAAAGATAACGAAACACACACAATTGGGAGGATGCCAGAACCCAGATAAGACTTGACAAACAAAGATAATTCACGCTTTGCTTCCAGCAAGGTGCTGTGCGCAAACACCCTTTTTAAATCCTGTTTTTCCAGCTACAACTAATGAAGAGAATCAGCCTTTTCCTCCCCCGTAATCCACGTTGCTCCCTTCTCCGTTCCTCCCTGCGTGCCCTAGGATGAAGAGGGGATGGCCCTGGGTCTTCCTCTGCCCTTCCCCAGTTTCCTCCACAGCCACCAGAGCCACACTCCCACTCCCTGTCAGCTGCTCAACCTCCCTCTCAAAATCAGTTTCCAACAGGGGCAGGACAGAAGGGATTATAACAACTCGCTGCAGCCAACTGGCTGCGGGACAAGAGTCACACCATGAACCATGAAAGGAAGGATGCCAAAGAAGCGACAAAACAAAATGTTGAAAATTGAAAGCCACTTCTTTACATATTTCTTTTCTTTTTCTTCATTATAATTTTCTTCTTTCTTGCACTTCTTTCTAATCTCTTTATTTAAGTTTAGTTTGCATTAGCTTTTACTACAGCAATCAAAATTCTTAATAAAGATAGATAGATAGATAGATAGATA